GCCTGCTTAATCACCTTCTGCATGTACAACCCTTTCCCTGTGACCATTCAGACATCTGATTTTTACTAGTTCACTGAACTATGTCAGTAAACACAAACACCTGAGTCATGCACCATGAAAATGACAGCACAATTTCGTCTAGCTGTCTAGCAAACGTTTGCACCTCGTCCTTTCCTGTCTCCTTAGTCTACGCAGATTTCAGGGTAGCGTAATAGGGCTAGATTCAAAGCAAAGGCCCACATGCCGGTCATTTCAGTAACATTGGCAGAAATGTGCATAATCTATAACAGCAGGTTCTGCCACTTTAAGTTTAAAATTCGACCGAGGTTTGGTGATGGTCACGTAAAATAGGATACTATTGACCATGCGTGAATTATTTGTGCAAGTGTTGATTTATAGGCCATTAGTTAAGGACAAAAAACCTTTAAATGTAAAATCTTTTGTGAATGTGAAAATATCAAGACACTCAAGAAGAGAATCTTTAAACTTCAAAGCAATATCGACACAAAAAGTCACCCATGGTTCATGGTATTGGAACGCAACTCAAAGAATGTGCAAGTAATGCAATAATTTACGTAACCACTTGTCAACGGACTCCAACTCTAGACAGGCATTTAGTTGGCAAACATGAGCACATCCATAGCCCTCCAACCTCACACACCCTTTCTCGCACACAATTCTAATAATCTAAAAAATTATTTTGTCAAAGTGGAATTCGGTTGGTAGATATTTAGCGATTGATCAAGTGTGACATAACTAAACTGATACTACTATTGGGCTTATTCTGTAAGAAAATCTTAACAAAATGTAATATCCTGCATTAACTAACGGGACGTTTAGTACTCTTTTGTCAAAATATAATATAGAATTCACATCGAATGCATCAGACCACGTTTTCATCTGCAGGCTACACGTATGAAATTAGCACCTTCAACAAATCATCGGCCCCTAAAAGAAGTCAAACAATTTCACGTGGGTTGTGCACATTTCTTCTGCTTATCAATGAGAGGTCACCTACAAAGGATGCTACTTTGGCTACCGATTTCATTTAAGTAAAACTGCGCTCATCGTTAGTGTGAATGCCGAGCACGTGAAAGGAGAGGTCACTTGGAATGTACAGTTTTGCATCAACGTGGTGGTATTCCTCTAACTTTGCACTTTGTTTTAATTGACAGAAAGCTCACATGATTGTGCCATTAGATTGAAAGCATCGTTATCATTGTCAATCTCTGTAGATGTGCTTTTCAATGACTAGTTACATGAGGAAATGAAAACAAGTTAAAGCGTTTGGATATTAACAATCAAATTCAGTTCAGATTTGAGTAAAGTGCTCTGGGCAAGAAATATCTGAAGTCACGACTAACACAGGAAACATGGTCAATTTTTAATTTAACCTGGACTCATTCACCTTGAACTGAGCATGTTGAATCACTAAGACTCCTAAAAGTGTAGGGATTGCAAATTATTGAAATGAGTTAATCTTGTCAAGCACATCAATCGCATTAATTCTTCCGGGTTTACCAGATACAAATACAAATTCAATTGTTTACTTTACCCATCCGAAAAAAATGGATAAATTACAAAAATAAATGCGAAATCGTTGCTTATTGTTGCTGCTGTCTGCCAATTTCTATGTTGCCTGCCTGTTAGTAATCCTGCGAGAAGAGAGACCTTCAATCACCAATACTGCAAAGGTGTTAAAATATGCATGACAACTTAAAAGGTACCAAGTAATTCGCGAATCCCCAATCGATCAACGAAGTCCCATTTTCGTTAAGCCCAATTAGTATTTACAGCATATTCCTGCCGAATTAATCTGTGCGTATTGCACTAATATCGATCCATTTCTCCATCTGCTGCGTCGAAGTTTGCTCCTGATCCCTTAACATCTGATTGACTGAACTCCCATTTTTCGACCTCGCATACCTCGCGTTGCAAACGTGCATTAAGCTACGACGCACAGTCGGTAGGCGTTTAGTGCTGGAATAGGTCCGTCGATTTAATTCGACTTGTTTAACACCCTTGCGTTCCCAACACCGCACACCTTTCTGTAACACAAATTCAGTCGTATACCTCTTCGCACCTTACGAACCTGCATTTATTTAGAAATGGATATCAACTGAAAACCCTGATATAAGTACAAATTAATGAATTGTTTGAACTACACGTTTCCGCGGCCTCCTCTCCTTACTGGTCTGGCCGTGTCAGTACGGGCTATTTGGCTACGGCGTTGTCCTTATACAACATCGGCGATTCCTAGAGATTCGTTGAGAAGTTTGGATTTGAGTAATGCGTCTGAGGTACAAAATACCAGAACTTACGGCACTAAAGAAACTGAATAAGGTTTTATGTACACAGAAAATGATGTAATTTGTAAATCAACTTATTTTTGTCCACTGACTCATCTGGACCTCTCTTCTAAATATCTCATCAGAAAACAGATTTATTTAGTATTGGGTTTACCGCAAAACGGCAGATGCTACTCAAGACGTTGCCTTAGACGTGGCATCGAGTCCTTAAATCACACTGAGCTGGTTTCGTCTACTGATTACATCTACAAAATTAAATCGTCATTAAGATTAGTGAAAAGGTAGCCACAAAACGCATACTTAAGTGTTCTTTTGAATAAGCTTGAAGACAACGACGATATTTTTACCACCGGTATTATTTTAGTGAAGAAATTGTAACTTATTTAATTTCCCACCACTAATGTCAGTATGGAACCCCACCGTGGGAAACGGTTTAGGCATTCCGCATACATTTGTCTGAGAATTCATGAATCCATCGCCAGTCGGCCAAGTCCCGTCTGTGAAGAACCTGATTAACGATTACGCCATATTCATGACTAAGAACTAGAACTGATGACGCTTTACAAGTAACCATGACAGCTGTTGTTCAAGAAGAGTTAACAGTACTAAATAAGGCTCAGACGTCGACTACCATGACTTGTTGCCTTATTGCCGGTAATGCCAGTTTCCTGGAAGTGTTTTTAATAGTTTTTGCTTGAAAACCGTGGCACGGCTGCAGTAAAGCATCACAGATATCCTTGATAGTTCCTTCAATGCTCTTTAGACTGGCAATTTCGGGGAACCTGTTAAAACACTGCTTTGGATCACTTTTCACGGGGTGTTCTCACAACCGAATCATGTCCAACTCTTCCCACATGTTACCCATCATTTGTGACAAATCCCCTCTGCTCTTGTTCTTCATCTGATAGTATAATATTTTAAAAATTGCAGCGATGCGTTTTAAACACACTATAACTCTGTCTTATCTATTAACTTGACAACATGTCGGTGATAATGTGTTTTATACCAGAGTGGTCAGAGTAAAAGCGATGAGAGACTCGTGAATGAGGAATTTCAGTTTGTGTAGATTATTGAACTAATTGACTATTATTATGCGAAAAAAATGTACACATTTAAATAGCAGGCTGACTAACCCAAAATTAGCTTAAGATACGTGTAGAACGATACTATGAGCCTAATCACAAGCAGGACCTGACAGATCACACGTATGTTGACACATAATTCTTATGACGATTTAACGACCTGTGACAATTTGCTTTTTTTTAAAACCTGCGGCCCATGCACAAAAGCCAGAAATTAATTTCGTGCTCTGTAGCTTCACCTCAAGCAAACGCTTTAAATATTTGTTGTTTCGAATGGCAGCACTGTATCAGAGAGCGATGTGCACATGGCAGCGCTAGCATAAATCCAGGCATCACATGCCTAAATGTCTTGTGTGCGAGACATTCAAAAGAGTTGCTGTGAATTCTGCACAGGAATAGATTTGCAAGCATGAAGCCTATTTTTGACAGCTACACACGTTAAGCCAAACTAATCTATACCATCGACAAATCACGCAGCTTTATTCACTGCATTCTCTTTTAACGTGAACACCATTAAGCCATGTTAAATGGTAAAGTTAAAATGTGCCACGTACTTGTTGCAACGAAGGCATTTTTTCTGCCATTGCTACTTAAATGAACACAATCTGGTTGACATTGCTTGATTAACTAACCCGCCGTAACTTCCATGTACTTTTGTCCAGGCCCTGCAACTGTAATTTCTTTCTTTTCAAATTTCCCATTTAAAGAAAAGGTTTGCTTAATTCTTCGATTACAGCAGATATCCATTCTCAGTACGAACCACATCGAGAGCCACATTACAATCACTCAAAACTTATAGCCTACCTTTCAGATAAACCATTTGATGAAAAGGTTTTCGAAACCCTCTTGCGTTGATCCACACTAGCTAATCCGATCACTTCAGCCTCCAACTTAAGATTTCTCTTTTCACAGCACCTCATAAGCCGCGCTAATCCTCCGCACTCCATTACTGGTACGAACATTCATCTTAGATTATCCGCACTCCAGGGTATCGATGCTAACTCATCTGTGATTCAGACATCTGAGGCATAAAGCTACTTTGAACAGTGCAACCACTAACGTAATCATTAAATATAATTTGGAACCTACTTCAAACGTCAACGTGTTTACTGTTGGCTGTAGTCCAGCAAATGTACGCCGTTCTCTCTGACAGGCCTGAGAGAAATTATTGCTTCAATAAGAAAACACAGAATTCGATCGAAATCCCTGTTAAGGCATACGCTTCCGTTTCAAATTGTAGTTTGCTATGAATCTCGTGTTTCATCCCAGCAAGTAAGTTGACATCTTAACTTTTGTTTAAAGCATTTTTAACAAGTAAGTTATGATATGGCAAAGTAATATTAATGTTGGGTATGGATTCTTTCGCTTTTATTTCACACGTAATTTAATATATCATATCTTAAGCAATGCATATTGCGTTACAATTAGTAGGTCGCAGAGGTAAAACAACAGCGAATGTCCTGTAGAAAGGGAAATCAAAGCAACAACAAGCCATGGAGGTAGAAATGTATTAAAGATCATTCAGAAGGCCATGTGGAGCAGAAAAATGTGAAAAACACTAACAAACAGACACAAGTAAGCAAAGGGATGGACAGTAACCTCCGAAAGTCTAAGCGATGAGGCACAGAAGGAGGATTAACAAACTCGCTACTTTGACAGGTGATATCATCGACGAAGATGAGGTCGTTGATGTGGTGGTGGTTGTTGGAATGTCCGATGGTTTTGCGCATTGGTTGACATAACAGACTAGACCCTTCGGGCAGGCACTGCAACTTTCTCCTTTCGTGTAGGGCCTGTCCACCATATCAATTTTCCTGAAAAAACATTTGACATCCATCCTTACACCATGCAAATTCACTAATTCTGAGCAGCAATACAAGTTACCTGTATTTCTATTTGGCATAAAAACTGCTGCAGCATTAGCTCAATTGCTTATTATTATTGAGTTAACTTACGACGGTGTGAAGAGGCATGCGGTGAGATACGTAGGGGAAGACTGGTTTGCACGACTTTCGCATTTCATTTGAGCGCACCCAACTTTGTTAGCTGTTGCCACTACCATCTTGAAAAAGCCAACATCAAAACTGTAAATTAACGGCAAAACAAATACGCTCATGATTCTGATGTGCCACATGCACATTTCAATCAGACAGGTCTTAATCTCCTAAACAACTACGCATGAAACACTGAGGTTATGCGCTTAACAACCGATAGAGGGGTTTACTAATAGAATAACTAACCTGTCTGTAATTGAAGCAGTAGTCCGTGCATTCGTCTTTGTCATAATCGTAGAAGGCCTTCTCTTTGCCAAGTTGGGTAATCACGTACTCATAGGTGGGTTTGGGACCTTCATTGAAGACGGAGATATCAGAAACATTTGAAGGAAGGTCTTCGGGTAGCGGTGGTAGGTAAGAGCAGTTGGTGATCCATTTGAGCACAATCGATTCCACTTGAAATGAGTAGTCCTACAAATTGCATGATGAAGTTATATGTTAACTGTTCGTCATTGCACACCACACTCTCTTAGTAATCCGCTTTGGTTGACTGCCATTTCACCAAAGACTCACCAAGAACATCATGTTGCTTGCAGGTGGTTCCACTGACCCTCGAATTTCTGTGAGCAATTTCATAATAGTGTTGCGTTCTTCATCCGTTGGCACATCGGCTGCAACACTCCATAGCAACGCCAGTAAACAAAGAACATACCTCATTCTTCCGTCTGCATGTAAATAAAATCGTCAAAATGCAAGGACAAATTACTTGACATTTAAAATCTCTGAATGTGTTCTAATGAGATCCTTGGAAGTGAAGTGATGACCGTACGACCCTTCTCCATTTGTTTATATACCTGAAATCAGGCCTAATTGGTGTGAAAATAACAAGGTAAAGTGTGATGCTAATGACCAATGAAATGGCTTCCAAATTACCGATCCACTTGTAGTGTTAAGCAAACAGAAGAACACCGAAGCAACGCACACGATTATCGGTTTGAAAATTCAATTATCGTATCCTCATTTTTATGTGTGTTTAAAAGTGTTTGCACAGTCAACCAGTGCTTACTGTGCCATGTCACAGTCAATTTCTGACGCGTTCGAATGGCTGTCCTTTGCTAAAAGCCAAGTTGCTAAGCACAAGTTTAAATTTACTATTTTGTTCAGCAGAATTCGTTACTAGCAAATTGGGCGAAATACTAGAATTGCGAAATATGTTTTTTTTATTTATTGAAGGAAATAAATATGGCCGAAGTCATGAGTATCATTCGCCATTACTACAATTGCGATTTCTGAGACACCGCATTTTGCCCATCAATGAAACTTGAGGACATTTTGAAGCCAATTCATTGGCTGTGCACGTTGAGTCGGAATGTAACAAACCACCGTGAGACAGCGGGAATACGAAAATCACTGCAGTCAGACCCTAAAATTTTTTTGACATTTCGCAGCAGGCCAATTGGTCTCCTGGGCACGCACTGGTTATAAATAATAGATGTAAATGAAAGTCATATACAATCTAGCGCATTTACTAGTATCCTTGTTTCGAATAAATTGGGCCACAAACTTCATGATACCGAGGGTTGACAGCTTGACCACATTGTGCAACACTTTGTCTGCCAGTGTATTAATTGGGCATAATGTATTAGGACGGACCCAATCAAACCGTGATTGTACTTACAAGCAATTTCGTATTTGGAACCCAGTGAAAATTCTCAAATGGTGTAGAAACTACGACAATTGGACAACAGTTCTCTTAGGAATGCCTTTATTCTTTTCTTAAAAACGCGCTTCTTTGAAGTGATGGATACAACTGACCGTCCTCTAACGTCTGCCTCATTAACTAGTATCCACGAATCTGATGAAATGCATCTTGCAAGTCCTTGGGTTAATGCCTAGAGACTGCACTTTGTTTTGGTTGTGATGACGTAAAGTCTGTGCATACATTGATAAACACTTCGTCAGACGCAGATTAACATATTAATTTGGTGAGACAGAGCTGCTGCAAACCAAATGTCATGAACGAGTTCTGGAATTTGTGACCATCATATGATTTCTTACACAAACTGGGTATCGAAGTTACAACTGATTTCGTAAAAGCCCCAGTCAATGCTGATTCCCTGCGTTGATCAGATCAAGTGGATATGAGCGATTTTCGGCACCAACGTCTTCATAAAATTCCTATGCGGCTCTGCCTATTTAAATAATTTTCAGGATCCTCATGTGCACACAGCTAAACTGCTGCGCATTTTCGGGGAAATGAGACTGATAATGATTGATTGTCAAGTCCTGGATGATTATAAACTATATTTTCATAATTCCAAAGAAGATGGCGAACCAGAAATAATAAAAAAATTCAAGAAGATTCCTCAGTTAACAGTTACCTTTGCACATTTCGAGGTAAGGCCAAAGTGCTGTTTGAAATGATGTTTGCGATGGAACTGGGTGTGTTCTTGTTTCACACACAAACCCGTTATTGAGAGTGGTGAAATTTAGCTGTTCGTGACTCAGAAACCTCCACCCTATTTACGCATTGCTTTGATATCAAAAATATTAAGCCCTGCCATGTAAGCTAACTAAAACACAAGGTTTTACTTAGGAATCAAAGGACTTTAAACGCAAATAATGAAAACGAATTTTAATCGGAATTCAGTGGAGGTAGCCGCTGGTAGGTCGTTAAATACTGTTCTCTGTCTGCTCCTGGACTTTAGTTGGCATATCGAGAGCGTTTATTTGCCTTATTGCTTGTAGCCTACGCCTGACCCTTGAACGCTCCAGTCTGTTCGCTTAAAGTGCCGTAGCTTCGATTTAACAATTTCTGGCTACACTTAATGAATAGGTGAACGTAAAGAAGCATGTCAAGGACGATTGCTTAAGCAGTAGCGCCAAATTATTCTGCAAATGTCACCGAAAATCACCAGACTACAATACAATGTGTGGGGAATATCACTTGTCAGTGGCGGTATCATCAATATTGAGCAATCCGTTTACGAGATAGCCGAATCAAATTACTCTGCGTTGTGTGCGTATGCTAGTGTGGCTGGCTGTACAATGCAGCCTGGGTGAACCACAGGAAACGCAACCTTCTGAATGACTAGATAAATAAAACGGAAATGAGTGGTTCATGCAAAGAGGTTGGTTAAGCAGACGGTCCCACGAGCCTGAGGGGTACACCATGAAATAGGAGAAATGTGTTCATAATCCCATGACAAGCGGATTAACGGACACGAGTCAACACAATCCAGCACACGTAAATGCAATCTTGTATTCAAGTTGTCAACGTTTTACATTGACAAGGACAATCTCAAAAGCAACTATTTCTCCTAGAAATAATTTCAGATTAACAAAAAATAGTAATATTCGATTAAAATGAGTGTTACTTTTACAAAACATCATAGAAGTCATGCCTTAGTACAACAGTAGATAGGTAAACGCGTCTTAATATCATTAAACGACTGAATTCGAGAACAAAACCAAAAGGTAATGGAGTCAGTATCTCAATATTTGCCAACTTTTGATCAGATCTATGATGTTAGCGGAAATAAGCCTTACTTAAATAAAAGCACATTCTGCTGTTTCGAACGGAGGATTTGACCTGGTTTCGTAATAATCAAATTAAATGGGCATGCAGTTGATTACGTGTGGAAGATTTGCGCTTGCGGAATCCTAGCAACTATCAGTTTAGGTTAATACCGGTCTTTGACTATAACATCCTTTGCAAATCTCATGATAAAACGATACTCAAGAACAGAAATTCTTTAAACCGCTTAGTTCCGTTGACGTCAAAGCCGTCTATGGTTCTTGGTATTGGCATGCCACTCAAAGAATGTGCAACTAATGCGATAATTTACGGCTACGTGACCACTTGAGGATACATCGAGACCTAGCAAATTGTCTCGTCAATGAACATCCACTTTAAACAAGCATTTGTCTTCCAAGATCACACACACTACCCTTTTCAGAATGCCAATTAGCAAGAATGTTGGTTGTCAAAATGCTTTTAGCTAATAAATTTAACTGGTTAATTCCTTAAAAGGTAGCCAATGGAGTGCAAAATGTTATCATTCTATCATAGTGCTTAATGGATAATCGAATGAGCAAAATTACGTTTTTGGTGCACGATTGTACCACGATTTCCTTTCTAGTGTTTTTAAATGCAATTTCTCGCACAAGTGATAATCACTCACAATCATTACCTGAGAGCTGGTTTGGTGCTGTTGGCATAACTACTCTCTAGAAATCTCATTCAGTGAAACAGGCCACCCTTTCACTCGCATGCTGCACATGCAGTCTTGGCACTTTTGACCAATCAGCGGCATTTCAAAGAAGTCGAGATGTGCACACAACCGGTGAGAAGTGCCATTTGTGTTCTACCGCTTTCGTTTAACTGGTCCATTTGTCGATGGTGAAAAGCCGCCTAGTTCTTTTCAATTCTGAATAATCTCGCAAACATTTTCACAGGTTATCAGTGTACACCCGAGACAGAAGAGCCTCAAATGTTCAAGGCAGTGAAATCAAAGAGCTCTAAACGACCTCCATAATACGATGCTTGTCTGTAATTTAGAGAAACTAGGTGTGACCTGCGTTCTTTGCAACAGTGATGCGGAAAAGTTGCTTTTGTGAGACCTAATTGCATCTTCTGAAGCCTCGCAAATGTGTTAATATTTGAATAACTTGAGAAACGCTGTTTCTTAATCGAATGCACAATCTTTTGCTTTTACTTGATATATTCAACTTGGAGGCCAAGTGTTTTCTCACAATTTAAACAAAATGTGCATTTTCTACATAGAGCTTTGCAACGCTTATAATGCGGCAGTTATAGTAGTGAATCAGTTTTACTTCTAGATGGTGCTGCCAAGTTTGTATCTAATTATTGCTATTCTAAAGCTACCTGTGCAACCTTACAGTGACCATTCGACATTGACACACACTTTGCTTAAATGCTACAAAATCCGTCAGTCTGTAATGTTTTGGCATTTAAACATTAATATTCTATTTGAAAATATGTCAAAACACGACAGAATTTATTATTATTGATTTTATCGCCAATAACAGGAACTTGTCCCGCAAAAAGTTGTTTGTAGGCGTTTAGTGACAGGCCACGGTGCCTGGATATGAAAATCGGATAGAAATTGTTGGTTTCAAGCGACAACTTAGAACACGGTGTTTATTACACTCCTACAAATTGCTTGTCAATTATCCTATTGTAAGTCAAATCAACAGTCCTTATCTTGATATATTTCCGGTTAGTCGAAAACAGTCCTTTTTTGATCATTATGGCTTTGATGATACAACGGTGCATTGACTCTTTTAAACTGTCAGCAAAAATCGCAAAAAAAATTCCAAAGAAGTATGAAAAACGCATTCCAGTATTATTGCAATAACGTGCATTCTCGATGATTCAACTTTTTAAAAGCGAAGCATTTAGAATGCCGACAAGCTGATTTTGGGAATGTACGATATCGCGGTCCTACTCAAGCAAATTCGGTAGTCATGACCGTTATTGCTAGGCATTTCATCCGCTTTCTCGTGCATCAACATCCACCTAACTAAATTTTATAGCAGCATTGATTGCACCGTTAAAAATATGTAGTGTTACCAAGAGAAGACAGAATTTATTTGGGTCGTCATCTGATAGTCGCGTTCACGTTGAAGTCACGATGTGTATATTTGACTGTGACGCAGCAGTGCATTAACATGCACTCAGTAAATTAAACTAGACAAGTGTACGCCGACTGTCTATGGTGACGCTAAGCATTCGCAAGTCAACAGTTCATTGCGTTTCAGGGTTAGCCGCAGGTTTCAAGCAATGATACAAAGTAGTGCAGCTGGTAGGATGTTCAGA